GGGGTTCTTTTTTTTTTTTTTGGCGGTACGCGGGCCTCTCACTGTTGTGACCTCTCCTGTTGCGGAGCACAGGCTCCGGAAGCACAGGCCCAGCGGCCATGGCTCAGGGCCCCAGCCGCTCCGCGGCATGTGGAATCTTCCCGGATCGGGGCACGAACCCGTGTTCCCTGCCTCGGCAGGTGGACTCTCAACCACTGCGCCACCAGGGAAGCCCCTTTTTCCTTTTTAAACGTTTCTACTTTTTGTCTTGGCTCCCCAGTCTGTCCAAGACGGGGAGTACTGTGAGAGAGCCCTTCTTAAAGCCGGGGCGCTGCCCCAGCTGGAGGCTAATGCAAGGGAAAACCACCGTGCTCGGGATTAGCAGAGCGTGAGTTCTGATAGCTCAGCGCTGGCGAGGAGCGAAGCAGGAGGACCTCGCCCTCCACTGCTGTCAGGGGAGCTGGTTAGCTTTGGGCACCGTGCAGTTGACTCTGCATGTGTACCTGGCAACCCTGCAGCGTTGCTGCTGATCGTGTGCCCCAGGGGAGCACTCACCGTGTGCGCCAGGAGCCAGTTGCAGGGCTGCCTGGCCCCTGTGCAGGCAGCACCGCTCAGGTGTCCGTGAGCAAAAAACACAGCACGGGTGAAGCAGTGGAGGGTGGTGAACCTGCCGCCGCCATCGATACAGGAGCGTGTTATTTAACGGGGGAGTGTATAGACGTCACGTAGTTACAAGATTATTTAACTACAGACGCCATATAAAGTTTAAAGACAGGCAAAACAAATAATTTTTTAAACATAAGTAGTAAAAATTAAAAAGAAGTGAAACAATGATGAGCACTGTATTTGGGTTAGCGGTTAATTTGGTGTAAGGGAGAGAAGGGAATGTGCTCTGGGGTTTCTGAGGTAACTTTCCATTTCTTGGCCTAGGCAGTTAATCCATAAGTGCTTTCGCGCACTCATCTTTGGAGTAACCTCAGATTTACAGAGACGTTGCAAAAAGACCACAAAGAATTCCTGTGCGGCCTTCATCCAAATTTTCTAAATTTTCTAAATGTTAACTGTTAGCTATATCATTCTTTCTCTCTGCATATAGTCCTTGAAACTTTTTAACAATACTATGAGGATATTTAAAACTATAAATTAAGTTTTTAATTTAAGTTTAATTTTCTTAGCAGTTGCTGGGCCAACTAATTTGGCCTCAGATTCAAGGAACTGGACTGACTGTTGCAGTGATGCTAGTGACTCTCCTTCGAAATGTGTCAGCTCCCCAGCGTCCAGAGCCTCAAACAAGCAGGGTGTGCTTCCACATCAGGTCAACCAGATCTACGATGAGTTACTCCAGATATACCAGAAACTGCAGGTGAGCCCTCAGGCCGACCCGAGGGTCGGGAAATGTTGATGTTGTCAGCACCAAACATTGAGGAAACACGAACACAGTGTTTAGTTTTAATTGTGTTAGTTAAGTGTTTATTTCCATCCCATCCTTACTGAAGGAATAAAACAGAATTTGCTGGTAAAGTATGCTTTTTGAAGTAGGTGTTCTAGATTCATTGTCTTAAATACCCATATGTAAAAAGTTCTCCTGTCAGCTCTCACCAGAATTCAGTTCAGAACAGTGGCCTTTATCTTCTTTGTCTCTAAAGGATGTAATTCATGTCTTTCTCAAGCATCCGCTATGTGGGAGTACAGAAGGAAGCTGAAGTATATGTAATAACAATTTCTGTTTGAAATTCTTCTAGTTGGAAATATATATATATGTATAATTTTTTTTTTTTTCTTTTTTGCGGTACGCGGGCCTCTCACTCTTGTGGCCTCTCCCATTGCGGAGCACAGGCTCCAGACGTGCAGGCTCAGCGGCCATGGCTCACGGGCCCAGCCGCTCCACGGCACGTGGGATCTTCCCGGACCGGGGCACGAACCCGTGTCCCCTGCATCGGCAGGCGGACTCTCAACCACTGCGCCACCAGGGAAGCCCATGTTTGACTTTTTGAGGACCCGTCAAACTGTTTTCCAAAACGACCGCACCATTTTACATCCCACCAGTGCTGCACAGGGTTCCAGTTTTTCTCTGTCTTTTTGATTCTAGCCATCCTAGTGGATGTGAAGTGCTGTCTCGTGGTTTTGATTTGCATTCCCCTGATGGCTAATTGATTTCAATTGTGGACATGAGTATTTTGTGCCACCTGAAAGCACACAGGTGGAGATGTAAATAGGCAGTTTGGACTTGAGTCTGGAGCTTGGGAGAAAGAGCTGAGCACCGCAGTTTGGAAACAGTGAGTTGCATGCGCAGTGCTCTTAGCCCCTGGGTGGATGGAACCAAGCAGAGGAAGTATGGAGGAAGGAAGCAGCTTAATCCCCAGTCTTGAGGAGCAGCAGTAATTGAAGGGCAGTGAAGGGAGTAGAGCCCGCGGCGGGGAAAGGGGACCCGGTGGAGGTGGTGTCAGGGAGGCGAGGAAGGAGGGGACCAGAGTGTGCGATGTGTGAAACCAGGGCTGGCGCGGGGCCTGTGGGTTCAGTGATTGGGCAGCTGGTTCAGTAGGGGACGTGGGTTGAGGCCAGATGAAAGTATCAGTACGTCGAGGAGTGAGTGGGATGTCAAGAGGGCTCAGCAAATGTAGACAACATTTTAAAGAAGTTTGTGAGGAGGGGAGGCCAGTGGGCGGGATCCAGAGAGATTTCATTTCTGATGCGACGGAGTGTTGGAAATAATAGAGCACTGAGTGGCAGCAGTCTCCCCAGGAGGCAGAGGCAGTGGGAGGCCGGCCTCCCTTTGTAAGGCTGTGTGCTCACGCTGTCTTCTGTACCACCCCCCCCCGCC